TGATTTACACACCACCATTACAGTATTATTCTATATTTTGACTGTACATTTACTTTACCAGTGAGTTTTATACTTTCTTATATTTTTATATTATTAGTTAACATTTATTTCTTTAAGCTTTAGCATTTCTTGTAAGACAGGTCTGGTGGTGATGAATGTATTCATCTTTTGTTTTCCTGGCAGAGTCTTTACCTCTCCTTTATTTCTGAAAGACAGCTTTGCCAAGAAAAGTATTCTTGGTTGTCAGGTTTTTGGGGGGCACTTTGAATATTTCATCTCATTCTCTCCTGATCTATAAGGTTTCTGCTAAAAAGTTCACTGCTACATTTATTAAAACTCCCTCATATGTTAGTTGTTTCTTTTCTTCTGTTGCTTTCAGGATTCTCTCTTTGTCCTTGAATCTTAACATCTTATTATAGTATGTTTTGGTGTAGTCTTGTTTGCATTGAATCTGATTGGAGACCATTGACCTTCTTGTGCCTGGAAATTTATGTCTTTCACCAGATTGGCAAAGTTTTATACTATTATTTCTTTAAATTAACTTTCTGCTTTTGTCTTTCTCTTCTCTTTTATGAATTCCTGTGATTCAAATATTTGCTCTTTTGATGTGTTTCATAAATCCTGTAAACTTTCTTCATGACTTTTCATTCTTTTTTCTTTTTATTCTCTGACTGTATTTCAAATAACCTGTCTTTGAAATCATATTCTTTCTTCTGCATGATCAATTCTGCTGTTGATGCTCTCCGATGCCTTTTTAAATTTCATTCATTGTATTTTTCAGCTCCAGAATTTCTGTTTGATTTTTTAAATAATTTCAATATCTCTGTAAAATTTCTCGTTTTGGTCATTTATTGTCTTCCTGATTTTAGTGAATTGTTTTTCTATATATTCTTAAGGTTTGCTGAGATTGCTTAAAACAATTATTTTGAATTTTCTGTGTAAGGCAGTTTGTTGTCTCCATTGCTTTAGGGTCTGCTGTGGGGAGATTATTGTGTTCTTTCGGTCATGTTATGTCTCTTTGGTTTTGATGTTTCTTGTTGCCTTACATTTATGTCTGTGCATTTGAGAAAGTAGGGATTATTTTAGTCTTTGCAGTCTGACTTTGTCTGGGAAAGCCTTTCACCCTACTTAAAGATTCTAGGAAGGCCATCTGGCATGGTGCAAGGGCAGATTTGCTGCTAGAGTCCTCAAGCAGGCTAGTCTGGTGCCTAGGACGACCAATGGGCAGGTCTGTGCTGGGGGGAACCTTGAACCAGAATCTGCAGGGTTCTACAGCACTGGTGCAGGCTTCTTTAGGCACTTCAGTAGGCCTGAAGCCCAGTGCTATTGAAGCCAGCTTGCTGCTGGAATGGGCCTAAAGCCCAGTGCCACTGGGTCCAGTTTGTCACTCAGTCTGGTCTGGATCGTGGGGTCACTGAGGCTGAAATAGAGCTGTAGGAGGCTGGAGACTGAGTTTGCAGGGCTGGACTGAATCCTGGGGCTGCAGGATTTAGGTTGGGGTCAGGGTGAGCTTGGAGGTTCCGACCATGGGTACTGGCTAGAATCTGGGGCTTTGGGAGCCGGATTTTATTGAAGACGGTTCTGTGGTTTGAGTCTAAGGCAAAGTCTTGCACTCACTTCCTTCTCCTTTCCCCAAGCATATGGTATCTCTCTCAGTGCTGTGCTTCCTGGAGTTGGAGAAGGTGACACAGTGAAACTTTTCTTCCTGCCCTTTTCAATGTGCTCCTTCTTATTTCTGTGTTACACCCAGGTGCTGTGATCTTTCATCTGGTTTTCTCAGCTCTTGCAAAGGTGTTTTCATGCATAGGTAGTTGTTCACATCAGTGTTTCTGCAGGGAAAGGAAGGCTGAAGAGTCCTATTCTGCCATCTCCTGCTCCTCCCCAATTTTCAGAGCAGAGAGTCCTATTCTGCTCTGCTTCTCCCCAGTTTTCTAATTATATCTTTATTTCTCTATAAGCGCAAAACTTTCCTTTGTTTTCTTATACTAACTGCCTACTCCCACCCAAGACACACAGACTTTGTTCACAGCCTCTGGCTGCTTTTAACAGGTATGAGATGGAAGGGAAAAGGAGAGTAAATCTTTTTAACGGAGGGCCTGTCCCTGGTTAGAGGATGCAAGAAGAAAGAATACGAAAGAGGTTAACTAGGGAATATTAAATAACAAAATACAGTTGACCCCTGGACACTGTGGGGGTTAAGGGTACCAATGCCCTATACAGTCAAAAATTTGCACATAACTTTTACCTACCCCAAAACTTAACTGCTGTTGACCAGAAGCCTTACTGCTGACATAAACAGATGATAACACATATTTTCCCCATGTATTATGTGCTGTATTCTCACAATGAAGTAAGATCTCCAAAGTAAAATGTTATTAAGAAAATCATAAGGAAGAGAAAATATATTTACTATTCATTAAGTGGCAATAGATAATCATAAAGATCTTCATCCTCATCATTGAGTAGTTTGAGGAGGAGGAAGGAGAGGACGGGCTGGTCTTGCTGTCTCAGGGGTGGCAGAGGTGGAAGAAAATCTGCATACAAGTGGACTCATGTAGTTCAAGCCCCTGTTGTTCAAGGACCAACTGTATATGAGTGAAACAGATTTTAGATAAAGTGACATGGTATCCATACATTGCCATGTTGTGGAGTTGATGAATAGAAATATGTTGCAAGTTACTTTTCAAAAGTTATCATGAAAACATAGAAATTATGCATGATGCTGCTTGTCAGATTTTCAAAGGAAGGAAGCCCAGGTGAAAGACCTTCAGGAAGGAATGGCAAGTGGGGGGACTCTGGTGTGGTAGACAATGGCACAGAAGAGACCTTTGGTAATGACTGGAATGTTTGAGATGAGGAAGATACAGAAAGACAAAAAGTGATATAGCGCTCACCCAGATGCGAAAGTGTTTTTGGAGAAAAAAAGTGACATAGAAGAAGCTTGCAGAGGTAACATTAATAATTAAGAAATAAAGGCTGACTCGAAGCAGGTAGGAAATGTAACAGAGATGCAACATTACATAGGGAACAACAGGCCTGGCACGAGGTGAGGCAGGAAAGCCCCCAGGGCACAGCTTGTAAGGAGATCTCACTTGGCATGTGAGACTGAGCTTCCTTAAATTTCAAGGCACCTAAGGCATCACCTTCATCTCACCCTAGTTCTGACTCTAAGAGACAGTAATTTTTTTAAAGTGTAGATAAAAAGAGTACGAATAGAAAAAATATATAGAGGGAAAAAAATACCAAGAAATAGGAAAAATGGAGGGACGCACAAAGAGAAGTATGCAGAAAATGAGTTAAAGGACAATGAATGAAAAATTGGTAGAGAGTGGATCACGCAAAGAAGGGAAGAGAGAAGACAAATCAAGACATTCTCTGATCTGAGGAGACAAGAACGGGAAAGGAGGCACAGGGTTTGTCCTATTACTATGGGGGACCAGCTGCCTCCTTATCGAAATGGCCCCTGTGACTCCACCTCCACCCCCAGATTATAATAGGCCTCTCCTCAGGCATCACTTCCTCTCCATGGCTCAATCACCATCTAGGATCTGTTGATTTCTAAACATACGTCTCCAGCTCAGACCTGTCCTCTTGACTCCTTTCCCCAATTGCCTGAAGACCTTTATTTAAAGACCTGAAGAACATCTCTCTTCAGAAGCTGAATCTGTCATCTATTGCTGTGTAATGAAACAAACCATCCTGAAACTTAATGGCTTAAAACAATCATCATTTCATTTGCCACTTCTGTCAATCCCAACTTTAAAATATCTGTAACTTGTCCATTTCTCTTCATCTCCAGCACAAACATCCTAATCTAGATCCCTGTCACTCTCACTAAAATTAGAGTAACAGTCTCCTGTCTGGCCCCCAACCTTACTCCTCTCAAGTCTGCACCTCAGCTGAATGGACTTTTCCAAAATAGAAACCAGTTGATATGACTCTCCTGTTTGAAACCCAGTGCCTTCATGTGGCCCTTAGCAGTAGGTCAACACTGCTTGGAGTGGTGAATTGAAGGATGCCTACCACACACCTGCACATTCCCCATCACCCTCTTCTCACCCCTTCATGCCACATTCCCACCACACTAAGCTTCCTTTACTTACTGGAATTTGCCAAGCTCTCTTTCTTTCATCTCTGCCTTTATATATGCTTTTGGGAAAACAGTTGGGGGTAATCTTTCAAAGCTGAAAATATACATACCCTATAACTCAACAATTACATTCCTCAACAGAAACCAACAAAAATGTGTGTTATGTCACCAAAACACATAGAAAAGAATGCTCAGGGCAGCCTTATTCATAGAAGCCAAATGCTTGAAATTGCACAAATGAATAAATAATTCATGGCTTATTTTTATAATGGAATGCTATCTAGTAGTGAAAATAATTATTCAAAATGAATGCAGATGACTTTCACAAGCAGGTTGAGTAAAATATACATATAATTTTGGGGGATTTGGCTTCTTTGGGGAGATCTATATATATTGAGAGAGAGGTGGGGGAGAGAGAAAGAGCGAGAGAAAAGAGATGATTCAATTTATATAAATTACACAGCAAGCAAACTTAATCTCGGTGTTTGAAACCTCAACGATAGTTGGCTTTGAGCAAGTTAGTGGAAACAGTGGGAAGTGTCACTAGGAGGTATCTGGGGTATTGGTAATCTATTTTTTGATCAAAGTGATTTACTTCCTTTGTGATCATTCAAAACCCACTTTTATTCATCTGTCTTATACTACCATTATAATTTTTATTTTTTTAAAAAAAGCAAAATATTAACCATCAAAGGATGAGAAGAGCAGGTAAAGGGAAAGGTAAAAAACAAAACAGAGCCAAGAGAGGCACAAAGGAAGGGACAGAGTTGAGCAAAAGGAAAAACAGGGAGGTGGGGTGAAGGTCTAGCCCCAGCAGTGAAATTGCAGAGAGGAGGAGTTATTAATGATAGTGAAGGAGGTCCACTGGGGAGACAAATGAAAATTCTTCATTTATTATAATTTGGCCCAGGGGCGGAGCCACACAACCATGGAATCCAAATTAATTCCTGTTCTGTGCGACTGGTGGATATAAAAAAGGAAAAACCATATTGTACTTCAAATGCTGAATGCCAAGCCCAGGCATCTGACATAATAGGTAAGGCTGCCCGGGAGAAGTTGTAACTGTGAGTCACAGGTTACCAGGTAAGGGGCTCGGGGACTTCATCAGGGCCCATCGTGGCAGTGCAGGTACCTGGGATGGAGGCAGGAAGGGAAAGGGGCTGGTACCTGATGCAGTGAGTCTTCAGCCTGACAGAAGAAAGTCCTTGGGAGCTGGGAAAATACCAGAAGACAGAAATGGAGGTATTCAGTAAGAATGTCAGAGAGGCTATTTCTGAAGTCAGAGAGGGCTGGCTCATGCCTGTAACCCCAGAACTTTGGGAGGCTAAGGCAGGCAGATCACTTGAGTCCAGGAGCTCAAGATCAGCCTGGGCAACATGACGAAACCCCATCTCTACAAAAAATATGAAAATTAGCCAGACAAGATGACAATGTCTGTAGTCCCAGCAACTTAGGAAGCTGAGACAGGAGCATCGTTTGAGCCAGGGACGCGGAAGTTGCAGTAAGCCAAGATTCTGCCACTGCACTCCAGATTGGGCAACAGAGCAAGACTCTGTCTCAAAAAAAAAATAAAATAAAATAAAAAAGGAAAAAATAAAAAATAAATAAAAATAAAAATAAAATAAGAGAGGAAGTCATGGGAGAGGAGTTTTTTTAAAAAAAAAAAGATCAGGGAGCCAAGATATTCACAAGAGGAGATGGGGGAAGAAACACAGCAGACAAAGAGAGGTATAAAGAGACACCATCACCAGAAACAGAGGCAGAAGCAGGGGAGATGGCAGAACAAAGAGGAAAGATGAGAAGTAAAATGAGAGTGAAAGAGAAAAGTAGAATGAGGGTTGGGGTAAGAACAGTGTCAGTGGATGGGCACAACTGCCTTCTGTGTGTCGATTTTATCAGCTTTTGGTTAAGAACCTGGAACAAACTGCAGGTGGCATGCATTCCAGGAACACTCCAGGTTCTTGAGTTAACTTAACTTTCCAGGTCTTCCTAGTGCTCTTATTGTGGAATTTCCTCGTGCGTGGACTCGTTGGTCACACCCTGAGACTCTTAATGGCTTTTGCTCCTTTGTGCAGTCATCAGCAGTGAGGACTCTGAAGGATCCACCGATGTTGATGAGCCCCTAGAAGTCTTCATCTCACCAGTGAGAAGTAAGCCTGGTAAGGAAGTTTGGGAGAGCAAGACTTGGGCTGTGGGAATCTGATTTAAGAGCTACTGTTTCCTGATGCATTTTATTCTGAGCTCATTCTGTAAAATGGGTCCATTTTATCCTGGGATCGCATTCTTTGCATTAATTTTACTTGACCTTTTTGGAAAATGCAGAGAGACAAGAAATTGTTATAAACTTATTTTTGAGAATTAGCCTTCTTTCTTGATGGAGTCTATTAATCAATATTCATACCCATACATTGATTATATAGCAGGAATAGGCTAGCAAAGTGATGAGTTTGTTTTTAAAACTAACTAGTTGCTACGTCTATATAATGTTAGATTTATATAGTGACTTTTATAGAGAATAGAAAGCTAAATATTCCTTTATGGGAAGATCTTATTGTCATCTGATCACGAACTTTGAATAGGATCAAAAGACATCTCACCCAACTATCTGGTGTTGGCAAAAATAAACACCTGAGATAAAGTATTCTGAAACCTGAAGTATTGTTTCTGACAGCATTCTTCAGCAAGTCATGGCACATTTAGTGATTTCTCAAAAGACTTTTGCAGATTGTCTTACTTTTAAATTTACGATAACCTTAAAAGGTAAACAGAATAGAGATTCTCATCCTTGTTTCCTAGAAGAGAGAACACAATTGCATAAATGTTTCAAAGTCATCTCCACAATCTCATGGTAAATTAAAGGAAAGACAAGGCTAGTATCCTGGATTCCGAGTTACTTCCTTTGTGAAATGAAAGACAGAAACATTATTAAAATCTTGTATTATCTCAATCCTATTTGCAGCATGAGTTGTCATAAGATTTATAACTTTTTAGTGTTCAAATTGGTTGATTTGTTTTGCCCTTTACTTTCTAGATCCAGGGGATATTAGAAACATGCCACTTTAGGGAAAATACACTAGGGAAAGACCTAAGAGCAAAGAAGAACCTCATCTTGATGTTATAAAATAACAATGTAGTAATACATTCATTCTAATTGCTCACTGCATCTTTCAAAGTCAAATGTAAATTTGCATTAGTTTTTGGACAGTACGTACTCTAACTTTGATCTTGGTGTAAGCAAACTGCTCTAAAAATTAGTCCCAAAATATGTCTTTGGCTCAAACACAAGAGGAAGTTATTTCTCAGCCTTATAAACAATTCAGGAAGGCATTGTGTTGGTGGGAGATAGAAGAGGCTCACATCTTTAACAGAAGATCTTCAAGGTCTCTCTGCATGAAAAATAGAAGCAGAAACAAAGGAAATGTGGAGTGGCAAGTAGAAGGGATAAGAAGTAAAAGAAGTGTGGGAAAGCAAAGGCCAAGCAAACCAAAATTTCCCTCTGGGGACAAGAATGGAGTATCGCTAACCCACAATGCAGGTAACTTGAAAGGATCGAGACAAGCGTGGCCTGTGTACAGGCGAGGACTTGCACGCATTTTCAAGGTTTTCTAGGTTTTCTTATTAGGAAATTTCCTACTGAATTGATTCCTTGGTCACACACTGAGACCTCTAAAGAATCCCATTCTTTTGTGCAGTGATCAATAATGACAACTCTTTAGAATCAAATGAGGAAAAGGAGGGCCAAGAAGCCACTTGCTCACGACCCCAGACTGTACCAGGTAAGAATATTTTGCAACCCGAGGCTGCAGAATATCCAGAGTACAAATCCAGAACTCTGTTTTCTTGATTAGTTTCATTCCAAGTGGTCTCCTTATTCCCTGATTCTGTAAATTCTAGAATACCACTTTCTACATTTAACATCTCTGGCCCTATTGAGAAACGGAAGACATTAGGAAGACGTTATAAACTCTGGTTGAACTGGATTGGTTCAATCGACTGACACATTGAAAATGTAGCAAAAATATTCTAGTAAAATAATAGTCTTTTTAAACAACAAACTATCAAGAGTTATTATTTTAAGGGTCGAAATAATGTACTTATTCTCCACTACTACCCTTTGTATTTGATAGAGCATGATAAGCACAGTCTTCCTTTATTCATTGATAATATTGTCTTAATCACAAACTCCGAAAGTCTTCAAAGAATAATTTGTGCTGCTATTTAATTATTAATGGAAAAACAAAAAAGGGGGTACTTCAGCTACACCCAAACCCAAATTATAGTTCACTCATTGGCTTACATTGTGATTTTTCACAGGGCTTTTGTAAATGAACCTTCATTTCCCCATCACAAAAACCTTAACAGGGAGGTAGGGTAACTAGTTTATCCCTGCTTTATATGTGAGAAAATGGGAGCTAGTGGTGTTTAAGAGTCATTTACAACCAGGCACGGTGGCTCACACCTACAGTGCCAGCACTTTGGGAGGCTGAGGCAGGTGGGTTGCTTGAGCTCAGGAGTTTGAGATCAGCCTGGACAACATGGAGAAACTCAATCTCTACCAAAAATATAAAAATTAGCTGGGCATGGGCTGGGTGCGGTGGCTCACTCCTGTAATCTCAGCACTTTGGGAGGCCGAGATGGGCAGATCACGAGATTAGGGGTTCGAGACCATCCTGGCCAATATGGTGAAACCCTGCCTCTACTAAAAATACAAAAATTAGCTGGGCGTGGTGGCACTCGCCTGTAGTCCCAGCTACTCAGGAGGCTGAGGCAGAAGAATCACTTGAACCCGGGAGAGGGATGTTGCAGTGAGCCGAGATCATGCCATTGCACTACAACTTGGGTGACAGAGCGAGACTCCATTAAAAAAAAAAAAAAAGAAAGAAAGCTCGGGAGGCTGAGGTGAGAGAGTCACTGGAGCCTGGGAAATTGAGGCTGCAGTAAGTAACGATTGTGCCACTGCACTCCAGCCTGGGTGACAGAGTGAGACCCTATCTCAAAAAAAAATAATGAAAAAGAACGAGATCATGTATTTTGAGAGAACATAAATGGAGCTGGAGGCTATTATCCTTAGCAAACTAATGCAGGAACGGAAAACCAAATACCACATGTTTTCACTTGTAAGTGGGATCTAAATAATAAGAACTTATGAACACAAAGAAGGAAACAGCAGACACTCGGGTCTACCTGAGGATGGATGGTTGGAGGAGGGAGAGGAGCAGAAAAGATAACTATTGAGTACTGGGCTTAATCCCTGGGTGACGAAATCATCTGTACAACAAACTCCTGTGACACACGTTTACCCATGTGACAAACCTTCACATATATCCCCAAACCTGAAATAAAAGTTGAAAACATTTAATAAAAAAGAGGCATTTCCAAATAATACACACAGAGGATGACAGGGATTGCTGGGCAGGATCCCAACATTATGACCCTGAACCTCCAGAACTGGATTCACTAGAAGGAGAGAGAGAAAAATGCTCATCAAAATTTCGTTATTGGCGGGGTGTGACGGCTAACGCCTGTAATCCCAGCATTTTGGGAGGCCAAGGCGGGCAGATCACCTGAGGTCAGGAGTTCGAGACCAGTCTGACCAACATGGTGAAACCCCATTTTTACTAAAAATACAAAAATTAGCTGGGCATGGTGGCGCGTGCCTATAATCCCAGCTACTCAGGAGATTGAGGCAGGAGAATCACTTGAACCCGGGAGGCAGAGGCTGCAGTGTGCCAAGATCACGCCACTGCACTCCAGCCTGGGTGATAGAGCAAGACTCCATCTCAAAAAAAAAAAAAAAAAACTTTCTTATTAACCCAAGTCCATTTGCCGTGTCAGTTGTCATAGAATTTATAAGTCTCTTGCATACAAATAACGGGTTTCTCCCTTTTACTTTACAGAGCCCATGGATTCCAGAAAATCATCTATATTCAGAGAAAAGTTTAGGAAAAGAGGTAAGAGAAAATAACAACTCTTCATGGTTATAAATGAACAATATTTTCTACAAAAGAGTCAGTCTAATTCCTTGCTATATCCTTCAAAGTAAAATATAAATTTGCTTTAAATTTCAATGGTTCCTATTTTAACTTTTGTATTAGTTAGGTTGGCTAACTGCTATAACATATGAACCCAAAGAAGTCAATGACTTCAACATAACAAAAGGTTTTTTATTTTTTTTTAGTAGAAGTTTATATTTTTTTCAACTGAATATTTCAAGGATTTTTAGATGGGGGAGAGGTTGGGCTCTGTTTCAAGCAGTTCTTCAAGCAAGCAGGGAAGTAGAAGATCTGCCTTCTTTGATCCTAGACTTCCATGGTTGCCCTGAGAGAGAAGCAAATGTACAAATAAATACAAATCCATATCCAAAACCCACAACAAATCCATAAAGAGACAAGTAAAGAAAGAAAGATAATGTGGTGTAAGAAGACAGAGGGCCAAGACAAAGCAGAGATGCCCACTAGGGCTAAAATTTTCTCAGCCTCAGGCTCAGGTGACAGTGAGGGATAAAATACTAACCTTGAGCTACAAAAATCTGAATCAAAAGGCAGATCATGGAGGTTTGAGGGCACGGACATTCTTGCCCTGAAGTTTCAGAGCATCGCAAATCTTTCCTAGTTTCCTTTTCATAGAATATTCTTCTGGCTTGGTTCCCTTATCATACATTGAGACTTCCAAAGGACATTTGCTCCTTTCTGCAGTGATAGGACAAGACTGCAACTTTTCAGACTCCAGTGAGGAGGAGGCGCTCCCAGAAGTCTTAAGCAGGGCACTGAGAAGCAAGCATGGTGAGAAGGGTAAGAACAGCCCCCTTGACTCCAGGGCTCTGACTTCAGAGCATCTCTTCCCTGGTACACTGTGCTCTAGGCATGCACAACAGCTATCCAGGAGCCAGTTCTCTGCATCTAACTCATCTGGTCATTTTGAAAAATGCAAAGAAAGAAGTGACTCTAAATTCAGACTTAACAAGATGGTTGTGGTTGAGTGGCAGTGCCCTGTTTACTACATACTGCCTGTATTAGTCCTTTTTCATGTTGCTGATAAAGACATGCCTGAGACTGGGTAATTTACAAAAGAAAGAGGTTTAATGGACTTACAGTTCCACATGACTGGGGAGGCCTCACAATCATGGCAGAAGGTGAAAGGCACGTCTCACGTGGCGGCAGACAAGAGAAGAGAGCTTGTGCTGAGAAACTTCCCCTTATATAATCATTCAGATCTTGTGAGACTTATTCACTATCACGAGAACAGCACAGGAAAGACCTGCCTCCATGATTCAATTACCTGCCACCGGGTCCCTCCCACAACACATGGGAATTCAAGATGAGATTTGGGTGGGGACACAGCCAAACCATATCACTGCCAGACCTATTAACTCCAAAGTATTAGATTTATGGAGTGATTTCTACTTCTGCCCATTCCCTGTTTTATAGAGAAGAGAAAGTACATTAGTCTGTTATTGCTTGATTTTGTCACAAACTTGTTCAAAATTCCAAAGCTTCTGGTCATACTCTCTAGTTATTGACAGAAAGACAGGCTCCTGGTTCTTACCATCAAATTCAATTCATAGCTTTTGACAGATGGCCCCCAAAATGAAATTGGCCAAATAGTGATATTTGAAAATATATTTGCAAATAAGATCTTCTTGCATCTTTACAACAACCTAAAATGTGGGCAAGATAACTATTGTTCCTCCCATTTGACAGATGGGGAAACTCAGGCACACTTAAGGATCTTTTTTCTTTGCACATCATATATGAAAAGTTATGGGAAGAGACAAGACTAACAGCCCGAATTCTTAATAAATATTCATAATCCTCTATAAAACCTTCAAAGCTAGATGTACTTCAAAGTTCAAAAAATGTTTCATTATTTTAGAAAGACAATGTGATTTATATTCTATATACAACAAAATACCCCAGTAGGATCCAGGAAGAATCCCATTCTCAAATATACTAATATTTATACAGCAAATTATGTAAATATTCACACAAAATATGATAAGATTTTACATAGACTCATGGCAACTCAAGTCCAGATTCACTGCCAAATTTGTTAACTGCAAACCTATGAAAACAATATTGGTTATTAAAATATCTTTGAGACCAGGTGTGGTGACTCACGCCTGTAATCCCAACACTTTGGGAGGCTGAGGCAGGTGGATCTTTTGAGCCCAGGAGTTCAAGACCAGCCTGAGCAACATGGCAAACCCCATTTCTACAAAAAAATACAAAAAATTAGCTGGGCATGGTGGTGCACGCCTGTAGTCCCAATAACTTGGGAGGCTGAGGTGGAAGGATCATTTGAGCCTGGAAGGTCAAGACTGTAGTGAGCCAAGATTACACCACTGCCCTCCAACTTGGCTGACAGAGTGAGACCCTGTCTCAAAAAAAAAAAAAAAAAAGGTCACTGATTTTGCAATTACACTAAAGGATTGTGGATCTGTGCTCCATTTCATAGTAATCCCTTTCCCTTAGGTGGGAAGAGACAGAAATGATCCTCAGAGAATATTTGTAGTCCAAATTCTGTCAACAGTGTAAGCAGCCATAAGACTTATAGATCTTTTAGGTAGATATTATTGATTTGGTTTTCCTTTACTTTCTAGATCCTGTGACTTCTAGAAGTACATCTACTTGGGGAATACCCAACAGGAAGAGACGTAAGAGCAATTAAAAACTCTTGATGTAACAAATGTCTTTCTTTGCTACAAAAGCTACATTCAGTTTTTTTGTTATATCCTTTAAAATAAAAAATTAATTTGTTGGGATTTTAGATGATTTGCATTTTACATTTTCTTTTTTTTTTTTTTTTTTTGAGACGGAGGCATTTTACATTTTCAACTAGATGAGTTGGGCTAGTATAAAACATAAACCTCAAAATGTTCAAAGGTACAAGTTCAACATAAGTTTATTTTTCACTCACATAAATAGGGTAAAGTAGTTCCTGAGTGGAAGGGGTGCCCACACAGTCATTCAGGGCCCAGCTGATGGAGGCTCTGACATCTTTAAGATGTTGCTTCCATGGTTCCCTTGGATAAGAAACTGAGATGGAAGCAGAAGTATGTGCAAACTAATAATGGAAGGATAAGAAGTTTAAGAAACAATGTCATCCCCAGCCCCAGCCTCAGAGAGGGCTCCTGGAGCAATCTTGACCAACAGGTCAGATGATCAAAGCCAAAGAGTGGCCTAGTAGTAGGAATATTTCTCCCCCTCCTACACAAGCTTCTCTTGTTCAGTTTTTCTTTTAAAGAATTCCCTGCCGACTTCTTTAAAGAATTTTCTTTTAAAAAATTCCCTAAGACTCAGACTAAGACTGTTAAGGAATTTTTTTTTTTTTCTGCAGGTCTCAGCAGCAGTGACTTTTCAGAGCTGAGTAATGGAGAAGAGCTTCAGGAAACCTGCAGCTCATCCCTAAGACGTGGGTCAGGTAAAGAAGATTAGGATGCCAAGACTTGGCCTGCAGAATGTCAGGAATCTGAATTAAAAGCTGCTGTTTCCAGATACTTTTTATTCTGAGCACCTTGACTGCCTTGTATCCAGTTCATCTGGGAACTCCTTTTTGCATTTTAGAAAATGGAAAGAGGCAGGAAATTATGATAAACTCATGTTTAACAGAATGAGTCTCACTGACTAAATGTATGTAATTATATTTTGCTGTTGTCGAAGAAATAAATAGCAAATTTGTGGATCCTTTTTTTAAAAACCTGCTCTCATTCCTGTTAACACTAAGATCTTAGATTTTTACAGTGATAAATGGGTTGACATCAATGTCGTTTGTAATTGTAAAGCCTCCTACTATGTAATTATAGACAGAAATAAAAACTTCAGATCGAACACTCTCAAACGTTAGTATAGTTTTTGGCAGATGTCCTTCATCATATAATTGGATTATATTGTGTTATTTCAATGTATTTTGGCAAATAAGATCTTATTTTATCATCACAAAATTTTTAAGACATAGTCAGGCTAACTCTTACTATACCCATTTTGGGGTGAGGAAATAGACGTACAGAAGTATTAGGGCCAAAAAACTAAAGAAACAATAGAAACTAGCAACCCAGGTGTCTCATGGTGGGTGACTGTTGTATGTAACAGACAGGAGGATAAGAGCTGTGTCATTTAAGCCAAAGTCCAAAGAAGATGCACAAGGAACTCAGAATATTCACAGGAGACTATACCAGTGCCTGATGCCAGAAAGCTTATTTAGCAACAACTGTGAGCGTGTGTGAGCGTGTGTGTGTGTGTGTGTGTGTGTGTACACATGCATATATTTGTTACATATAACATGTATACATACATAAACACATATGTGTGTGTGTGTGTATATATATAGGTTAATAATATAATCTTTATGGGGAAGGAAAAATTAAAATCCAAAGAGACAGAATAGGAATGGAACCAGCTATATAATATACAAAATACCTAGAAAGATAGAAGCAAAATGGATAAACATAGAAATAAAGGAGAACAGAACATCATTGAATGAAACAGAAAAAGCAACACAGGAAACAAGAAAAATCAAAGGGAGATGAGCTCACCTAATCAAAGAGATAGCGACAAAAATGTATAGCAGCAGGGCAGTGGGCAGAAAAATGAGAAGTAAGGAGGAGAATGAGGTGTGGTTAGATAGGGTAGGGCTATGAGGTGTACTCATTGATGTAGGTGTATTTTTTTGTCAGTTCATCTAAGCTCTGAAAATAGTTCAGCATGACCACATTGAGACAGGTTCCCTGGTTTCCTGGTCACTGTCTATAGTCTATTATTTCCTTGCTTATCTTCATTGTCCTGTGAATTGAAAGCTCCTCCAATGAATACAATGAATACACAAAGAGAGTAAGAAGAGATGCAGCCCATTAGCTTGTGATGGAGAAGCCAATTATGATGTTAATTATTAATTACCTTTGTTTTCCTACTTGCATGGAGGAAAAGCTCTTTTTTCTTTTCCTTACCTCTCCCCCAAAACATATGCACACACACATACACACTACACACATAAAGACTTGTGCACAGACTCTGGCTGCTTTCAACAGGTTTGAGGGAACCAAAAGAAAAAGAAGAGCTGGGCTCCTGAATGGAGGGAGGAGACACTGGGTGGATAAAGTAAGGAGAAAGAGTGGAGAAAGGTAGGCAAGAGTCACCAAATGGAAAGATATAAGAGTCAGCTTCAGGTTTTTCTAAGTGGACAAGGAATTCAAATATTCCAGGTTTTGTGGGGGAAGGGGGATAATTTTCAAGATACTTCTCAGAAATTGTACCAGAAACGTGAAATTAAAATTGGTGATTGATTGACAGCCTTGCAAGTTAGAAAGCTCATAGGGAACAGACAAAGGTAATAGAGATGGCTATGTGGTCAGTGTCCAAACTGCAGGCATTTGGTGATGGAAGTAATAACCTGTGAGATAAAGACAAATATAGATGAAGAAAATGGGGATAAAGACAAAGATTGAAATTGCAAAAACAGTCAAGATCAAGGGCCAGGCGCGGTGGCTCACGCCTGTAATCCCAGCACTTTGGGAGGCCGAGGCGGGTGGATCACGAGGTCAGGAGATCGAGACCATCCTGGCTAGCACAGTGAAACCCTGTTTCTACTAAAAACACAAAAAATTAACCTGGCATGGTGGTGGGCACCTGTAGCTACAGGTGCTTGGGAGGCTGAGGCAGGAGAATGGCATGAACCTGGGAGATGGGTCTTGCGGTGAACTGAGATTATACCACTGCACTCTAGCCTGGGTGACAGAGTGAGACTCTGTCTCAAAAAAAAAAAGATCAAGATAACATTCAGAGAAACAAAGCTAGAAGAGAGAACAGAAGGAGGAGGTGATAGTAGAAAGAAGTTCACCTCAATAATAAAAATAGATCTAGAAATATAAACAGGGAAACAGGTGGAATGAGATACATACAAAGGGTTATAAATGGAGTGGTGTAAAAAATTAGGTACAACGAGAAGTATGTAGAGAAAGAATTAAAAGATGAGAGAAAAATAGAGGTGAGAAAGGGGAAGTGTAAAAGGGAGAGAAAAGAATGATGGAGAAATTGTAGGATCTGAAATGACCATGAGATAAAAGCAATTTTAGCACAAGGCATGATTCATAATAGCAGTAAGTTTTCAGAATAAAGTGTCCCCTGGCCCCTCTGACTCACCCAGATTACAAAAGCCCTCACCCAGGCATTTCATCCACTCCTATGATTTCGGTCACCACCCACAACCTCATGATTCCTACATGTGTATCTCCAGCCAGCCCTGTCTTCTAAACTCTTTATCCAAGTGTCAGAAGGCTCCTGTTGGAGGTCCTGAAGGCCTTAGACTTCACCACTTGAATGTTACTCAAGACCTTCAAAGTCAACACCTCCAAAACTGAGCACATCACCTTTTTCCCTAAAAGCAGCCTTTGCTCCTCCAGTGTTCTCCATCACTGAAACAAACTATTAATTGACCCTTTATGTCAAGATGAAATTCTCAGGGTTATTCATGAATAGAAGGGACAAATACAGTGAGAAACCACAAAAGAAAAAGAGATTTCGGAGGTAGAGCCCATCCCTTAATTTAGCTGTGGGGAGTGGGGAGTCACTAATGTTGGGGAAAAGGAGAATCTTGGAGGAGAGTGGGCACAAATAAAAATGTTTACAAATCACAATTTAGGATCAGAGCTACAAGGACCTGAAAATGAGAAGTGTCCCTGTGTCATGTGTTTTCCAAAAGGTGTGCCAAGAAGCCAAGAAGCAAGGACTGAAAATAGTCAAGCATCTGATATGATGGGTAAGGCTACCCTGAGGTCTTGGGATGGAAGTGGCTCAGTGGGTATCACAGACACTGGGTAGGGATGTGGGAAGTGATCAGAGTTGAAGCAAAGCATCAGGCAGTCTCTGGATCACCAGCAGGAAGTGGGCCCACAGGCCCCAAGCTTCAGAATTTCAGAAGTCTGAAATCATAGCCCCCGTTTCTTCCTGCTCTTGACTGTGAGACGACTGTGACAAAGAACAGGTTTAGTGCATGCCAGAATCCTGTTCTCTGCATTTGCTTAACGTGACCCTTTTGGGAACTGCAGGGAGGCAAGAGATCATTATAAAGTCATATTTAACAGAATGGGTTCTCTTGGTTAGGAGGTAAAAGAAAATACACTGGTAAACATAGCAGTATCTCACTATATTAGCGTTATCAATAGTAAAGTGTTGAATTTATAAAGTGAGTTCCACCCCTGTTCTTGAAAAAAAAAAAAACTCGTTCTTCCACTCACAGGTAATAGTGTCACTGTCATAACTTTGGAAAGCCTAAAAAGACAAATAGTCCTGCTACCTGTCAGAAAAAAAAAAAACCTCAGATACCTACTTTTAATCTAAAAATACATAGTTTTGAAAGATATCTTCTTGTCTGTTATTGATTTATATAGTGATTTCCTATTAACTTTTGCAAATAAGATCATATTTAATATTCATAAAAATTTTAAAGTTGAACAAGATAACTGTTGCTATCCCTGTTTCATAAATGAGGAAATTGGTGCATAAAAGTAATGAAGAGCTGTTTCAAAGTCTCAGAGAACTACAGGAAGACCTTAGACATCAATAAAATGTCTGTTTCCTTTGGAAGGAAGACAGATAAATTATACTCAGAATATTGCTATAAACACAAGCCTTCCATGCAGTGTGAATTGTCATAAGATTTATAAATTTTACTTATAAATTACAGTTCTCTGACCACTACCTGTCACTTTCTAGATACCATGGATGTTGAAAACAATTCTACTTTGGAAAAACACAGTGGGAAAAGAAGTAAGAATAAATAAGAATTTACTTAATTTGTGTGTTACAAATGAACTATTTTTTAATGCTAAGGTTTATTATCATTATTTTCTTTTTTCACCTTTTATTATAGATTAAAGGGTACATGTGCAGGTTTGTTACATGGGTAAATTGTGTGATGCTGAGGCTTGGGGTCCCAAAAATCCCATCACCCAGACAGTAAGCATAGTACCCAAGAGATGGTTCTTCAGCCCATGCCACCCTCTCCCCTCCCCCATCTAGTGGTCCCCAGTGTCTCTTGTTCCCATCTTCACATTTATGTGTATTCAGTGTTTAGCTCCCACTTGTAAGTAAGAACATGCAGTATTTGGTTTTCTGTTATTGCATTAAGTTGCTTAGGATAATGCCTCCAGCTCCATCCATGTTGCTGCAAAGGGCATGATGTTATTCTTTTTTTTTTTTTAATTATACTTTAAGTTCTAGGGTACATGTGCACAACGTGCAGGTTTGTTACATATGTATACATGTGCCATGTTGGTGTGCTGCACCCATTAACTCTATCTCCTAATGCTATCCCTCTCCACTCCCTCCACCCCACAACAGGCCCCAGTGTGTGATGTTCCCCTTCCTGTGTCCATTCTTTTTATGGCTGCACTGTATTTCATGGTGTATATGTGTGCCACATTTTGTTTATCCAGTTCACTGTTGATGGGCAGCTAGATTGGTTCTATGTCTTTGTTGTTGTGAATAGCACTATAAGGAACATATGAGTGCATGTATCTTTTTGATAGAACAAATTATTTTCCTTTGGGAATATACCTAAAGGTGGTGGGATTGCTGAGTAGAATGGCATTTCTGTCTGCAGGTCTTTGAGGAGTCTCCACACTGTCTTCCACAATGGTTGAACTAATTTTACACCCCCACCAACAGTGTATAAGCATTCCTTTTCGTCCACAACCTAACCAGCATCTGTAATTTTCTTGATTTTTTAATAATAGCCACTCTGAGTAGTGTGAAATGGTATCTCACTGTGGCTTTGATTTGCATTTATCTGATGATTAGTGATGTTGGGTATTTTTTCCTGTTTGTTGACCACTTGTATGTCTTCTTTTAAGAAGTGTCTGTTCATGTCCTTTGCCCATTTTTTAATTGGATTTTTTTGTTTTTTGCTTGTTGATTTGTTTAAGTTCCTTATAGATTCTGGATATCAGATCTTTGTTATATGCACAGTTTGCAAAAATTTTCTCCCATTCTGAAGGCTGTCTGTTTCCACTTTTGGTAATTTCTTTTGTTGTGCAGAAGCTATTTAGTTTAATTAGGTCCCACTTGTCAATTTTTGTTTTAGTTGCAATTGCTTTTGGAGACTTAGCCATAAATTCTTTGCCAAAGCCTATATCAGGAAGGGTATTTCCTAGGTTTATTCTAGGATTTTCATAGTTTTAGGTCTTATATTTAAATCTTTAATCCATCTTGAGTTAATTTTTGTATAGGATGAGAAGTATGGGTCCAGTTTCATTTTTCTTCATATGTCTAGCCAGTTATTCCAGCATCATTTATTGAATAGACAATCCATTTCCCATTGCTTATTTTTGTTGAAGATCAGATGGTTGTAGGTGAGCAGGTTTGTTTCTGAGTTCTCTGTTCTGTTCCACTGGTCTATGTGTCTGTTTTTGCACCAGTACCATGCTATTTTGATTTCTGTAGCCTTATAGTATAGTTAGAAGTCAAGCAATGTGATGCCTCTAGCTTTGTTCTTTTTGCTTACGATTGCTTTGTCTATTCAGGCTCTTTTATGGTTCCAACTGAGTTTTAGAATAGATTTTTCTAATTCTGTAAGAATGACACTTTTATTTTGATAAGGATGGTGTTGAATCTGTAAATTGATTTAAACAGTATAGTCATTCAAATTATATTGATTCTTCCAATCCATGAGCATGGAAAAATTTTCTATTTATTTGTGTTATCTCTGATTTATTTCAGCAGTGTTTTGTAGTTTTTCTTGTAGACATCTTTCACCTCCTTGGCTGGATGAATTCCTAGGGATCTCATTTTCTTTGTGGCTGTTGTAAATGGGACTGTGTTCTTCATTTGATTCTCAGCTAGAACGTTTTTAGTGTACAAAGATGCCACTGATTTTTATGCATTGATTTTATATTCTGAAACTTTACTAAATTTGTTTGTCAGTTCCAGGAGCATTTTTTCTACACCTTTCATAAGATAAAACCTGAATGCCTTTTAAGGTAGCAATTTATTTTTTTTTTAAATGCTCATGTTGCTTTTTATTCTGTCTTCATCTTGCTTTTTATTCTGATTTTAAAATAGATGTTCTTGTGAACATTGGTGTCTATCTTTCCAGAATTTTACTATGCATGTATTAACACATTTTGGAATATAGTTTTATTTATTTAAATGAGTAATTCTGTATATACTTGTCCTTTCTTGCTTTTTAAACTAATATACCTGGACAATAAAAACATATTTAATTGAAATATAAAAAGTCTTATTTCAGGGCTGCTTTAATGAGCATGGTTTTCATTTTTAGTGTGGTCAGTAATTTTTCATTTATTATTGAAGATTTCTGTTTCTTCTTTGTAGAACTCTTTGTCAGAGAATGCTCTCAGTGTTTGTGTGTGTGTGTGTGTTTGTGTGTGTGTGTTTGAGATGGAGTCTTGCACTGTTGCTCGGGCTAGAGTGGAGTGGTGCGATCTCGGCTCACTGCAAGCTCCACCTCCTGGGTTCATGCCATTCTCCTGTCTCAGCCTCCCAAGTAGCTGGGACTGCAGGTGCTCGCCACCACGCCCGGCTAATTTTTTGTATTTTTAGTAGAGTCGAGGTTTCACCGTGTTAGCCAGGATAGTCTCGATTTCCTGACCTTGTGATTCGCCTGCCTCAGCCTCCCAAAGTGCTGGGATTACAGGCATGAGCCACCGCGCCTGGCCCTCTCAGTGTTTCACGTCATGGTGTTTTTCTTATTATTCTGAATGAATATAGAAATATTATATGTTATATATATTAAATCTTGGTCACATGCATTGCTAGTATTTTGTCCATTTGTTGTTTTTCTTTTAGATTTGTTAAGGGAATCTTTTGTCCTAGAGTAGTTTTAAATTTTTATGTAGTCAAATTTGTCAGCCCTTTTCTAACTGGTTCTTGGGTTCCATATCTTATTTACAACAACTATTTCTTCCTCAATATTTTAAAAATATTGTTCTATATTTGATTCTAGAAGTTTGATATAACTGATCATTTTTAATGTTTACATATATAATCTACATGGGGTTTGCCTTTCTGTGTAACTGAAGTGGGAATTTTAAAAATATTCTCCACATTATGGCAAGGTGATTTGAATCACCACTTTGATTACACAGTGCCTTTACCTGTCTATATTCTGTGTTCTTCTTTTGTAATTGAAGGGACTACAGAAAAGAAAGAAGAGCTCAGAGGTAGAACCATCCTGATGCTTCATTGGGGGTGAATTTTAGAATGAGCTCAAGAAGATCTCTCCCAACTCCTTCCAAAGTCCACTGAAAGCTCTGATTAGAAATACATTGAACTGGCTAGGCATAGTGGCTTACGCCTGTAATCCCAGTTTCTCAGGAGGCTGAGGCAGGAGGATCGCTTGAACCCGGGAGGCAGAGGTTGCAGTGAGCCAAGACTGCACCACTGCGCCCCAGCCTGGGTGATAGAACAAGACCCTGTCTCAAAAAAAAAAAAAAAAGCATTGAATTTGAAGGTTAATTTGGGAAGAACAGAGACTTTTACTCTTTTATTCATGTCTTATGTAATGTTCTTCCACTAAAAAAAAATTTTATACAATTCTGGCATTTTTAAAAAGTTTTATATGTTGTATAAATTTATGTATTACTATGAATATCTTTTTTTATTACATAATAACTGGAGTGAATTTAAATGAGACAAGATTCTCAAAATCTTTATTTAAAAGGAAACCTATAGTCAATTTATTACCTACTTGCATATGAGAGAATCAGAATGCCACTGAGTTAAGATAAAATTTTACAAGCATTTGTACAGTTTAGGGATCCAGATACCACTTAAAATATTATAGCCAGGCCCAAAAATTATCAAATAAAACAATCAATCAGAATTACAGGTTTCTTTGGAAATTGGTTTCATGAGAAGTGGCAATAATTTTCTATTTTGTGGGATTATTACAAGACCTCTTCAAATAGCTCTCCTAAGGACAAGTTTATGTTAACATAGAACAGAACAAATCAGTAACGGTTATGAAAAGACACACTTCCATATTTTGCAAGAGAGTAAGACTGATCTTCCTTTGAAATTTCTCAATTTAACACTTTGTCAAATCAGATTCTTTATGTTAGTGTTGTGGTGCAGAATGTTCTCTCTCCTTCCACAACTATGGGTTGAGGGGCCTTTCCTTGCATCTTCTTCAGTAATTTCTTTTGTTAGTAATGAAGTCTTACATGTTTAAAATCTAGTCTGTGGAATTCATTGGTTAGCCTTATAAGAAATGTAAGCCCATGGAGCTCAATGTTACTGGGAAAAATAGAGGTGCCTGAAATGAATTTCACCTAAAAACAGTGAAATAGGATGCATAGAGATTTTTGTTTGTTTGTTTTTTTGTTTGAGATGGAGTCCAGCTCTGTTACCCAGGCCAAAGTGCAGAGGTGCAACCTCGGCTCACTGCAACCTCTGCCTCCCGGGTTCAAGCAATTCTCCCATCTCAGCCTCCTGAGTAGCTACGATTACAGGTGGATGTCCATCACCATACCTGGCTAATTTTTGTATTTTTAGTAGAGATGTGGTTTCACCATATTAGTTAGGCTGTTCTCGAACTCCTGACCTCAGGCGATCCACCCACTTTGACTTTCCAAAGTGCTGGGATTACAGGCGTGAGCCACCGTGCCCGGCCTAGGATGCATATAGATTTTTCAACTATAGCTCTCCCATTCTCCATTCTGAATGAGCTCCAGATCCCATATCATTTTATTTTAAGATTTCCTTTCGTCTTGTCTTCACCTAAATATATAAAGTGAAGTCAGCTCAGT